GACGGTGGCGCCCTCGCTCGGCGGCTTCCAGCAATAACTGCAGTGAAAGTGCAGCGAGCCACAGGTCTGTCACTGCATCAGCTGGAGCCCCCGCCTCTCCGCTGTCCCCTCGTGCCCCGAGAAGGGGGCCTGTTGCGCTCGGCGCCTGCTTCGATACTTGTTGCCACGTTCCCAGGCGACCAAGAGCATTTTAAAACGAGAAAATTACTTCCCTGAACGAAGAAGTTCAGTCAGAGAGGAATCGAGCCGCATTTCGGTGACAAAATGAGTTAGGAATAGTTTTGAACTTAATTCGTCACCTTCCAGGCAAAGTATCACAAGCGCCATGCGACGTTTAAAAATTTCCGCCGCCATTTTATTTTTTTACAGAGAAATTGTTCAACGAAGCTGTCCGAAAATTTCACTGAATTTTCTTTGTGCTGCCGATAAAATTTAGTGAAATTTCCAAACCGATTCAACCAACGATTTCTCAGTAAAGAAATAAAATGGCGGCGGAAATTTTTTAACGTCGCATGGCGCTTGTGATACTTTGCCTGGAAGGTGACGAATTGGAGGTACGTTATCTCTTGCGGAAAATTCGGAGTCGAGAAAAAAATATTTTGTGCAAGAAAACAGGCTTCAAAAGCTACTCTGATAAAGTCGATCACACTCGGAAAAAAAAACACATTGGATCTCTAGTCCAGACTCTTAAAAACATCGACAGGAACAATTAGGCTTGATTCAATCAAAATCTAGCTTAAATCAAGCACCAAGCCTCTTGATTCAAGCGGATTTCGTTTTGATTCAAGCAAAAATCCGAGTGAATCAAGAGTATTTTTTCTTGAGAGTCTGTACTCTAGATCCAATGTATTTTTTTTCCAGTAAAGCTTGATGTGATGATGAATCAGTATGATTTCACGTATCAGCTGGTAGCGAAAACCAGCATGATATCAGCATGTTTTCAGTATGATGCCATCATGATAGCAGTATGATATCATCATGATATCAGTATGTTGGGAAAACAATTCCGTTTTAGAGACATGGAAAAACTTTGCGATATATCGATTGATCTGCCATTTGAATCTATGGAAAAGGATCGATGAACAGAGTTTTCGCAACGAACACCTTAATAATCGATTCTTTGCCTTAGATTCAAATGGGGAAGCATATCGATAATCGATCATTCACGCTTCACCACTGACGTAGTCATCCAATGTATAGCAAACCAGCTAGTCTCTCTTTCCCCCTCTCCATAAAATCCTAACATAGTATAATACCTGATACCAGCATGAAATACTGTCATCATACTGATATGTAGAAATCTTGCTGATATCATACTGATACCATACTCATATCATATGGGAGGATCGGTCAAATCACACACTGGAAAAAAACACATTGGAATTGGATCTAGATTCCAGACTCTTGAAAACATTGACAAGAAAAAATACTCTTGATTCAATCGGATTTTTGCTTGAATCAAAACGAAATCCGCTTAAATTAAGAGGCTTGGTTCTTGATTTAAGCTAGATTCTGATTGAAGAGTACTTTTTCTTGTCGATGTTTTCAAGAGTCTGGACTCTAGATCCAATGTGTTTTTTTTTCCCCCAGTGCATCAAAATATTATGCTAGTTGACTTTACCATGAATGCATCTTCAAGATAAAATTGTATGACGGCAAAACACTTCTAACCTCCCTTCAACGGCCGCTATGTTTCAGAAATGTAGTAGCCATTAGTAAAAGGATCCCTGATGCAATGCGTAACTTTGAAGAGTTAAAATATTCGCCGATGTTCAAGTAATTTAAGATGTGCAACTTACTGCAATTGAAAAACGCACCATAAATTATGCCAGGAAAAACTGGAAAACGGAAAGTTACATAAAATTAGCGAGCGCGGGTTTTACCTGCGAGAGCTGTTGTTTTCCGTCGTTTTTTCCGGGTCCAGCATTCTTGCACATCGACCAATGCCAAATTCAGATGCTTGTCGAAAGCAGCGATGAAAGCTTCACAGTAACCACGGATCCCCGTGTGGTTTCGATTGAACACCTGTTGGAGAAAACAAACCAATCATTCAACATGAAAACCAGATTCCTCTATCAATGATTCTTTTCCATAATCCAAATTCACGGCAACATTATACGATTTGGAAAGACTTCCACAGATGCTTTTGCTGATTACACAGACAAAGAGAGTGAATGCTATTTAAAGACGATTTGAAAATAATTGCGCGAGCTATAAAATCTCTTGTGGGTTGCCGTTAGTCTAATACCTACCTCATTAGTCCATTATAACCACCCGCTTCCACTAATAAGATCCCTCCATACTCCTTTCGTCTTCTTTGTCTAAAGCTTTGTCTATCAATTTCAATAATCGACTCGCTAGAGCGTGAAGAATCCGACCACCAATCCATCCGTTCATCTGCTCTTCAGGGCCGGATTGAGGGGGATCAAAAATTACAGGCGAGAGAAGGTGACAAAATCTCTCATTTCCTGAGAGTATACCTCTAATTTTGTCGTCTTTCCGTGATACACTAGACAGCACCTTTAATTAGTCGAGTTAAGACTAAGAGAGAAACCGAACACGGAATTTGGCCTGGAACGGCGCGGCGCAGAGAGCAATGATGACGAGAACTTGAGATGAAAAGGAGAGACCCTGGGCGCGGCGCGGCGATCGGCATGTGACACACATTAGCGCCTACAAGACTGCATGAATACTTCACGCATTGCGTCAAAGACGCAGTGCGGTCGCTGCGGTGAGCAGCGGGCGGCGAGAAACGCATGGCGCCTACAAGACTGCATGAATACTTCACGCATTGCGTCAAACACAGTGCGTGCAGCAGCGGTCGGCGAGAAACGCATAGCGCCTACAAGACTGCATGAATACTTCGCGCATTGCGCCAAACATACAGTGCGGTCAGCGTGGCGCGGCGTCGGAAGTTAAAATTGTTAAACCAAATTTATGTTTGTTCTTTCATAGTTTTTTCGTTCATTTCATATAAATGAAAGGCCTTGTCCCCACAGAGATAGGTTTACGGGACTTAACTTTTGCGCCGAGTTCCGTGAACTTTTGGTAATAGTGTTGACAGGGCTTTCGCAAAAAATGTGTCCAACACGAGTAAACGCGTCTTATGCACCCCTCCCCTCCGGGACGTTCGCTTGATGGTTTTTATTGATGTTTCAAAACGATTGAGAAGGGGACGGCAAAATACAGGCGGCCGAATGCCGACAAGTAAGTAAATCCGGCCCTGCTGTTCATTGCGAGTAGCCAACTTCCGAGTGGTCTGCAACCCGCGGTTTACCTTGGAGATCTCGCGTTTTTCAATATTCTCTGCGAGTGACGTGCACACGGCAGAATCGGCACTGAGCTGCATCTCTGCATCTGCTGCGATCTTCTCGCTCCACTGCTCACGGAATGGTTAATTGGTGATTCCTAGCCGATGTTGTCGTCGTTGGCGGACTTTGTCTATTGGTCCATTCTGAACAGTAAGTGAATGGCAGATACTCGGACCCGAGGGCGGTTGTTACACAGAGTGTCTACTAAAACACGCTGGCCAAAAATCAGTACTTTCACAGTACTTGTTTCGTACACTATAGAGAACTCAGTGCCTCCTCAGCAAGAAATTCAATTCTTTTTCAGTACTCGCACCTGACGAAATTCTAAAAATTTCAAAAATTTGAATTTTTCGCGCAAATTGCGGCAGACATGGAAAAAATTCCGCGCTTTCTTACGGAATTTCCGCACTTTGTCGGCCTCCTATGGTGTAGTGGTTGTAGCGCTTGCTCTATGATCGGGAGGTCCCGGGTTCGATTCCCGGCCAGGCGACCCGAGTTTGATGGTCTCAAACAATGGTTGCCAGGGACTGGTTCAGTAGGGATGGAGGGGGGATGGGACTTAAAGCGTGGGATTAGCCCTTGTGGGCTATTTGAAGTAGTTACAAAAAAAAAAAAAAAAAAAAACTTTTTCAGTTGCTCCGGACCGCCTTTGAAAAATCGGTGCTATTTCCGGACTTGTGCATAAGACACACTGTAATAGGGTGGCATATTCATCTTTTTGAAGGCGATTCTGCGGGAAATCGAGGAAGGGCCGGGGATGCGAGCTATCCTCTGGACGTCGACGGTAAGAAGGGGATTATTACGCAACTTGGCGGCGAACGCAACTGGTGAACGGGGGTATTACATAAAAGAGAAAATAGGCGCGGAATCCGCGGAGGGCCGCTGCGCCGAGNGGGGGGGGGGGGGGGGGGGGCGGCCGGGACAGGGGCCGCGGCCGGTCCAGATCTTTCTCCGCGGATGCTGGAGCACCGTCGACGGCGAGCGACGAGTGCGAATGGCGAATGGCGAATGGCGAATGGCGAATGGCGAATGGCGAATGGCACTTCACCGGAAGTGCAAACGCGAGGATCATGAACTCGGCTTCGGTTCCTGCGCCGCCGCCGCCGCCGCCGGCACTGCCACTTCGCTCGCTGTCGTTCCTCGGGTCACTGCACCCCGGGTCCCCGGCCACCGCGGGAGAGAGCCCGCCGAAATCACGCTCGCAGGTGGAGCTCCCCTCTTTTTACTTTCAAATCAAAAGACGTCCGCGAAAGAGAGGAGCCGATAAATGTAGAATCCTCCCGCATCGCCTGGAGGGGTCGAGCGATCGAGCATGAATCATGCCCGCGGGCTCATTGTTGAAATCGATAGACAAAGCAATAGAAAAACCAAAAGAAAAAGCTATAGACAAAGTAATAGACAAAACGATGGACAAAGCAATAGACAAAGCAGTCAAAAGACAGGCAAACCTATGGACAGGAATCATTGAGCCGATAAATGTAGAATCCTGCCGCATCGCCGAAAGGGGACGAGCAATCGAGCACGAATCATGCCAGCGGGCTCATTATTGAAGTCGATAGACAAAGCAATAGACAAAGCAATAGAAAAAGCAATAGAAAAAGCAATAGACACAGCAATGGACAAAGCGATAGACAAAGCTGTCAAAAGTTAGGCAAATCTATGGACAGGAATCATTGAGCCGATAAACGTAGAATCCTGCCGCATCGCCGAAAGGGGACGAGCAATCGAGCACGAATCATGCCAGCGGGCTCATTATTGAAGTCGATAGACAAAGCAATAGACAAAGCAATAGAAAAAGCAATAGAAAAAGCAATAGACACAGCAATGGACAAAGCGATAGACAAAGCTGTCAAAAGTTAGGCAAATCTATGGACAGGAATCATTGAGCCGATAAATGTAGAATCCTGCCGCATCGCCGAAAGGGGACGATCAATCGAGCACGAATTATGCCAGCGGGCTCATTATTGAAGTCAATAGACAAAGCAATAGACAAAGCAATAGCCACAGCAATGGACAAAGCAATAGACAAAGCTGTCGAAATTTAGGCAAACCTATGGACAGGAATCATTTTTAAGGGGAAGACGAGGGGGTGAGACACCCATAAATGAACAACTTTAGGAAAACCCCCACTTTACTGCATTGTTTTCCGTTTATCTAACAGCTTTGGAGCCAGTTGGGAGCCAGAGAAGTCATCTTTTTTTGCTATAATTAAAACATACCTATGTATACATGCATCAACTCATATTGCAGTTATTTGAGCTTTCCTCTCAGAAACACCCTGTTTGTGAACGAACAGCATGTACAGCGTAATTTTAAATATTAATCATTGCAGACCAAAAGATGATAATATTTAAATATTCCTATGGAAGGGCAAAGCATACCTTCACTCGAATCTTCCTCTTCATACAGTCCCTTATAAATGAAAGTGGACCTTCCGTACATTCCTCCATGCGCGTGAGTACGTTTCTTAGAGGCTTCCTGGGAACGATGATAGGCACTGCAACAAAAATGAACCCACAGAAATAAGACCAAAAGTAAACACAATTTTCTCGGTGTGCGAAAAAAGGTACACGTCTAAGTCGAGTTATTTGCCCTGAAAATATGCACTCTTTAAAACGTATAGCTCCGAAAGTTTCTTATTCTCTTCATCTTTTCTTCTTCTTTGAATTATAAGTTTTAGGGATATAATTTGATAAATGAGCAAAATATATATTGCCTAAATTCATACGAGATACATTTCCATTATTTTTAAAATTTAAAAGACATCAGGGGAAGTTCTGGTAGAAATTTTAGTATCGATTCTATTTTTCTAATACTTGCGATTCATCATCAATTTTCAACAAAAAAACATCGTGTACATCGATTTCGCTGACGTTTTCTTGACATGAAAATCGCTTGCAAAATAAATTTCCCTGACACGCCGAAATTTTGCAGATTCCCTGACGTTTTCCCTAATTTCCCTGACACCAAAATATCCCCTAACATTTCCTGGTTTTCCAGGTAATTAAATGGACGTATTTCTGTCAAACGAAACTAAGCGTCATAGGGGGCGGAGGGAGGGTAGAGGGGGGCTTGGATTGGCGGCGGAACCGGGCGTCGGGCTCATTCCGTCCTATACTCGCAATGCTTTTCCATGGCGCTTAGTTCCGTTTAACAGAACGCGCTATCTGGCATTCTAAATTCCTCAAAAGGAACTCAAATTGGCACTTAGTTCCGTTTGACAGAAATACGTCCAAATTTCCTGCACAATGAGTCCGTTGATTAGCGTTGATCGGTTCTGAGAATTCGTCACTTCAAAGTGCAAAATTAGACAGTTCCTTGACTCATGAGTGGTTACATCCGCTGTAAGTCGGACGATCTCCGGCTGGAAATATTGATGCAACTCGAAGGCGTCAATAGGTGTCACCCACCCCATGAGCAGGCCCTGCTTCCCGTCGAGATAGCTGCGCGTGTGCGTTCGCGCGTGCGTGCGAGCCAAATGAAGAACACTTAGCGATTCATAATTAATCGGACACCGAGACTCGGTAACATAGGTGTGAGCTCCCAGTAACGTTGACAAATTAAACTCAAATACTTATTTCTTGAACGTTCCGACTTTAAAATCCGTACAGGCGTGTGGCTCTATGCCTTGATGCGGTCAAGTCATGGGAATCAGTGGCGTGGCGTGCTTTGCTATATATCGACTGTTATTCCATTTAAACCTATGGAAAATGATCGATAAACAGGGTGTTCGCAGCGAACACCTTAATAATCGATTCTTTACCATAGGTTTAAATGGCAGAACAATCGATTCATCGCTATTCACGCCACGCCTCTGATGGGAATGGCTGCCGAGTCCAACTTTTGCGCAGGGTTGCCATAGTTCATGTAAAATAAAACCTTGAAATTTCATATAAAATATCTCACGAAATTTCAGGAGTATATAAAAGGTTTTGAAAAATATAATTCAAAATTGAATGGGAAATTAAATGAAAGGCAAAAGATTTTTGTTTTTTATTGTTTTTTGTTAGTGCATGATGCATACCTGGACCCTCAAGGTATGTTTCATATTTTGCATATTTTCTAGAGCTTTGAGAAATTTTATGAAATATTTCACGGAAATGTCCAATCTTTCGTATTTTTCATTTCGCCTGAGCAGCCCTGCTTATAGGGGGTGGGGCGAATCCAGATTCATGTAGTCATCCGAAAAAGCAGTCCTTCACCTCTCTCTCAGACCCCTCTAATTACTTTCCTGGCCAGCCCCCCCCCACCCCCGAGGGGGAGGGGATATAGCGTAACGCGAATCGAGAATTTTCACGAGACAGTATGAACAAAACGTCCGCCTACACCTCTTAATGTAGGAGAAACTGCGCAAATCTACCACGACAGGTAGTCACCGATTTATTAGGCGACGGAAAATTTAAAATTGATGATAATTAAGCCTAGAGGAAACATGCATGGCATGTGCATGAATAGCAAGCGCAGCTTTTGTGTTTTTCCCAAAACTTTCCCCGTTAGTTTTCAACTTTTCCGCTGAGCCATAAAATCGGCATACTTCAGCTGTCTATGCTGTCACGGGTTTGTTCAGTTGTTCTCGGAACAGCATACCTTGGTCACAAACACGTCGGTAAAATTTCCCGGTCAGCATGGTATATCCTCGATAGTTTTCCCTTCTTTTCGCAAGGCGGGGACCTGCCCTTCTAAAGGGGGAGGCTGAAATTTAAAAAAGTAAGATGGCCGGACACACGATAAAATAGATCGTATTTGATAGTGGTTCGATGTATCATCTGGTTCAAAACAATAGACAATAATAACCTCAAATAAAAATTTTATAATTTGTGATCCGATTTCTCCCCCGATTCATCAACTCTCGCGACCCCCCC